TGTGTGTGTGTGTGTGTGTGTGTGTGTGTGAGAGAGAGAGAGAGAGAGAGAGAGAGAGAGAGAGAGAGAGAGAGAGAGAGAGAGAGAGAGATTTGAACCTTTAAGTCAAGAGCATGCTGGCTCAGAATGAACTTGTTCACGGCAACATAGTGAGGGTTATCTGGATGAACCGCCACACAAGCTGCTTCTGCCGCAAAGATAGAGTGAATCCATGGGATTCGCTGCCACTCCATTGTGATTGCATTCTTCACATAGTTGATAAGGGCAAGAACCTGTGGCTGCTCCTTGAAGATAGCCTCAGCCTGTAACCGCAAAACAACAAGAGAAAGTCTTGTCAGTTTAGGAAAAGCCCTATGCTGTATTTCAGCAGTTCGTATATGTACGAACTGAGCTAGGCTCAGCAATAACATAATTCTGAATTACCCGCAGCCGGTCAGCTTCAGTGATGTTATCTCAACGCCATCGCCCTTTTCTTTTCCTTTTCTTTAAAGAAAACTGAAAAAAAAGACCTGCGCCGACGAAAGAATGCAAAGACCGTGCCAAAAGAATGCTGTCGGATCTGCAGAGCACTCAACGCATACTTGTCGTTAAGCTGAAGGGTTCAGCTATTGAATTGTTGACATAAATATGTTGACACCAACACTATTTTGATGGTTGCAGATTTTGTCCTCTGAAAGGGATCATTATGTGACGTCTCATTTGCTCACATTACACCGAATAATACTCTAGAGCACAGCAAAAAAAAAAAAAAAGGCGCTCTGCGGCTCCTGACACCTGGCACGAGCTGTAAAGAAGATTCACATACTCCACAACCAGCTAGGAGGGACACACATGGAACTGTTTCCCGCATAGAACATCCCGCGGGATATGCTGAGGCGAAAAAATCTGGAGGCCGGGAATCCAACCCATAACCCCAGCGTCCCCTGCTAAGCTAGTAGTATATAGGTAGATAGTGGGAGGCATATTGAGAAGGAAAAACAGGCGCTCTGAGCACAGAGAAATACCTGGCCAATGTGACACATCAGCGGCACATCATGTCAGCATAAGCTTCTTATACAACTCGAGAAAATTTTATTTTCTTCACTGCTTGATTACAGATCCAGAGAGGTCTCTGCAATGAACCCAACTTCACAAGCTCATGATCAGATCTCACATGAACGCACAAGGCATTTTTTCATATAAATGATATATCATAATAGAGAACTGCCCCGTGACCCGTAGGCAGACAGGGAGACGAGGACAACAAACAAGGGGCAGTGACAGACTGTTTTATTGGCGTTTCACCGATTCATCAGAAGGCCGAACCCTGTAAAACAACGGTCCTTATGGCCCCGACTCCTTGTCCATTCTGCAGCATCAGCGTCCAGTTCCTTTTCCACCGGCAAGTCAAAAAAATATTACAACATGAACTCACACAACGCTTCTCTCCATTATGGCAGAGAGACCCTAAGCGGGCAGGACACTGGTTGCTTTCTTAGTGGAAAGATGTTACCTCCCCTCACCCCTGCTTCTCTGTACTTAGATCCAATCACCCAGAAGCCCGCCCCTTGTGCTATCCAAAATGTCCTCTCCTCAACTGTTTTTACCCCCCCAATACTCTTAAAGCAAGAGCGGGTCTCGCGTGACCATCCCGCGCAAGACCCCAATTCCTGTGTCGGGAACGGGCTGGGCCGGAACCGATGGGCCACCCGGGCAGCGAATCCCCGACTCGAACAGGCAGCCCACCGGACAGGTGCAAGCGGACAGATGACGCTGGGCGGATGAGATGCGATGAAACGGACAGGCATGGGGAGACGAGGATAGACAGCGCCCGGGGCCTAACACGGCACTGCCTGTCGGGTGGCGGGTAGTCAAGCAGAGCAAACCAATGTGCAAGGGGAAGGGAATGTGCATGGCAAACGGGCATGGTGGATGGGGTGAAAACGACCCCGTTCTCTCTCTCTCTCTCTCTCTCTCTCTCTCTCTCTCTCTCTCTCTCTCTCTCTCTCTCTCTCTCTCTCTCTCTCTCCCTGTCTCTNTCTCTCTCTCTCTCTCTCTCTCTCTCTCTCTCTCTCTCTCTCTCTCTCTCTCTCTCTCTCTCTCTCTCTCTCTCTCTCTACCTCCCCTCTTCCACCCCACACCCCGCACTCTCGGGCCTATCTCTGTACTGGCGCGATTTTGCATCAAAACAAAGAAAGGAAATGAGAAAAAAAAGCATCGTGCCCTCTCTCTCTCTCTCTCTCTCTCTCTCTCTCTCTCTCTCTCTCTCTCTCTCTCTCTCTCTCTCTTGCGCGTGCGCGTGCACATTCAAAAAAACACAACCGAAACGAAGGAAGGAAACCAAAAAAGAAAAGCATTGCGCCACATGCGGAGCTACAAGGCGCGATTTTGCCACCCCCGACTCTCCCTAGCCCTCCCCCTTTTTCCGCCCCTTTTTTCCCGTCCTCCCATCTCTCTCTCTCTAAAAAGAAAACGAAAATGAAAACACGCCACACGCCGTGCCTTTACACCCTTATCCCCCTTTGCTGTCCCCTGATCTCTCTCTCTCTCTCTCTCTCTCTCTCTCTCTCTCTCTCTCTCTCTCTCCTCTGATACTTAACGATCGTCGGTGTGAGTGGGCAGGTGCTGTCACTAGGCAACCTCCGCCGGATTATGCAATGGTGCACGCGCGGAACTGGCAAGGCCGTGTGCATTGTGTCAGAGAAGGATAGCCGATCGGGGAGTAGCGCACGAGATCGGCAGGATATATCGAGGGAAATGAGGGGGGGGAAAAAAAGGGCCAATGCAGCCGCGCAACACAATGCACTCAGCCACGCCAAGACCGACTGTGTGTGTGTGTGTGCAGATGTGTGTGAAAGAGGGTTTTAGCGTGCTTGATTGCATTGAGTGTTGCGTGGCTGCATTGAGCCCCCTTTTTTCCCCCATTAGTTTTTTGTGCAGCCGCATTGGCACTTTTTCGTCCCGTCATCCCACGGTCGTGCGGCCGCGCTGTTGTGTCACCTTGCCACATTGCTAATCTTCTCTGTATCGTCCCAAATGTTAACACGAAAGGGCATTCTTCCTGCTGCTTTTTCACATGGTCGCGTAGGCCCTTTTCTTTTCCGTGTTCTTTTTCGTGCCTTCTGTAATGACCCGCCAGAACACAGACTGAGAACACTGCTGATTTGTGAGTTCTGTCGCTGGAATGGTTGCCTTGCTGAGATTCCCACATTCGGCTGAGTTTTCTAAGTCTGTGCGTGTGTGTGTGCTTGAGGGTCTGTGTGCCTGTCTGAGTTCTTGTCGGCCTGAGTGTGTGTGTGACCCACAAGGGTACTTGCTTGCTTGGGAGGCCCGTAGGGCATGTACTTACCTGTGGCAGTGACATTGAGGGTTGCAGCGGGGGAAAACACTCAAGTGGCGGGGAAAGAGGCCCGCGACTCTTAGAGCAGCGGAAAAACACTCAAGTGGCGGGTAGGCCGGTACCACGCCAAATAGATGTGCCAGGTACTCGGGGACGAGCAGAAGAAGACAAAAGTTGGCATTTTTAGAGGCCCAGTAGTTGTAGGCTAGGTTTAGGCGGGTACCATTCCAACCAGTCTGAGTCTAGTGCCTGTACAGGCAGTCAGAGTCCACAATGATGTTTCCCTCCGAAAGGGAGGAGGTACCGGTTGCTTGGAGGCTGCGCGGCCTAGGAAGTCGCCGCCCGAGAGGCAAGTAGGCCACTATATCTCCAGGAGGAGCGAAGTTCTCCTCCTCATTCTTCGGTGTGCAAGTTTGGCGACACACTGCTCTAGGAGGAAGGAGACCGGGAGCTCCCACCTCGGCTATGGTGGAGCTCTACCGGTAGGAGGAGGAGGAAGAAGAGGGGTAGGAGGTAGAGTGGCGAGGTACCTACCTGGCTATGGTGGGCACCATCTTCATCACTGAATCCCCCGGGCTCGTCAGCAGAGTTGCTCCATCCAAGAAATCACAGGAAACACTTCTTTCGCAAACTCGTTTTGTAATACAATCTCACAAAGGTTCCGCTGTACACCGACTCGTCAGTGCTTTGGTTCCGTTGATTTCAGGTTGCGGAAGGAGTCATAGCAACACCACGAACAACGGGTCTTGTTAGGCGCTGCATCTGGAAGGCCCCAGTTGGGGTTGCGCCGCACCAAGAAGGCTTCAAGGCAGAGTCAGGCATGGCGGCCTGAGAAGCAGCGGACATAGCTGCTTTGTGAAGTCCTTTGCACAGCAAGGCCAGGCCCTTAGTAGTCCGCCATAGCCTTGGCCACATGAAGAGTAGGAAGAAGAGTGGCCATGGCTATGGTGGACCTCATGTTGTGCCTGTGCAGAAGAGGGGTTCGGACATTGATTCTAGTTCAGCCGTTCAACATTATTACGGCTATTTATTGTTTGAATAAGAGGGGAGGAGAAAAGGACGACGAGAGAAGTTGGTGAGGAGGGTATTATCTATGCTGGTGTACATCTTCTTCTGCTTCTTTCTTTCATCTTCTTCTTCTTCTTTCTTTCATCTTCTTCTTCTTCTTTCCCTCCCTCTCCTCTCAAGTTCATTCATTTATTTTTGCAATTGGACGGCATTGTACTTTCCCATGAATGTGTACTTCAAAATTGGCCAGGATCGTAACACTTCAAGTTTTTCAAGTTCTTTTGTGAGTACGTTGAAAGTGGTGTCAGAAGCAGGCGTCTGATTCGGGCATGCCGCTAAGCACCGCCAGCAAGACCCAGTGAATGACACCGTCAATGAAGGAGCCACATTGGAGTAGAAACCTGTTGTGTCTCTGAGTGACGATCGGCACAACTTCAGGTAAGTGAAGACGTCTCGCCTTGACGCAAACGCACCCGTGCACACTTAGCTATGGAGTATTGTGTAGACTGCATCAGATGTGCTTCTGAAAGCGAAGCAATGAACTTTTGTATACTTCGGAGAACGTATCCATTGTGAACATCACTTGGCTGTTCTCATTCCCACTCTTCATCAGGTTCATGAAAGCCATGGAGACTACTTTGGGCAGTCTAATCCTCATTCAGTATCCCCAATATTGCCTCTCACATTTGGCACCTCATGTTCTTGCCTACTTGCATCAATCAGGTCATGGGATGAGCCCGATAAACCACGACCTTGGCCCAATGCTGGCCAATCACAGCAGGGACAATGTCTCTCTTATATCCATATTCTCAAGTTTTGTCCGTTGATCTCCATAATTTACGAACAAGAAATGATGAATCTGGGTCAAGTCAGAGCTTTCCCCCATACCTGGTGCAAACATCTGCAGCGACACTTCTTTTCCAGGTTTCCTGTCTTTTTTTGGTTTCTTTTTTTTCCTGTCTTTTTTGTAAAAAGGGTAGCCCCTATCTTCATTGTGGCATCCAATTCCATCAGTATCCAACTTTGTGTTCTGTCAACATAGGCTCAGTATCTCCTTTCCTTAATTTTCTTTTTTCCTAGCTTACTGCGGGTGTGGGTGCGGGAGTCGGGGGTTCGGGAGTGGGCGTGGGGGTCAGTGGTGGGCGAGGCGGTCAGAAGTGGGTGAGCGGTTCCGGGGG